TGTATAATAACACTATACACTATACTCGTCAAATGTTATAGAGAAATATACGGAGCATTTCTCTCTCTCTCTCTCTCTCTCTCTCCACTCTCCGTAACATATTTGGTTGAACACAGTCTTGTATGAAGTGAATGATGAGCCAAAATGCGAGCAAAAGCCGAATTGAATGAAAAGACTACCCCTTCTTGTGTGAGATATCGACTCGATCTGAATAGAGCTCATCATCTCTTTTCGTCAGTTTCTATATTAACAACAAATACCTATATTTGACTACAATTTTTGCCCAATTTTCTCCTTATTTTTAATGAAGGGCTCATTTGATGAATTAAATGAGAAAATACAGAATCAAAGCATATTTATCTCTCATTAACACAATTCTTACGGCAATTTCCATAAAACAAACTTTGTTTCACACATGCATTCTTTAAATAGCGATTTAATTCACTCAAACCTTTACACAAATATAATAAATTCATGTTAAGTGCGGTATTATTTAAATATTTTTAAATTTTGCGTGATTTTCATTGCAAAATTGTTTTGTTTATATAACTATTAACACAATATAAAGAATAATTGATATTTAGGTCCCAGACATGTCTAAAAGTGTTAATTGTTTGCCTTAAATCATCACATTTTTGTCGACACGTTATTTTGTTACAAATTAGTTATAACTATTACTTACACTTTATTTGCGAATCTTTGTTATCATTTCATTACTCAAATCAATTGTCAATTAATTATTTAATAATTAATGTGACATTAAAATTACAACAATTAGTTTAATTATAATTATAGTTATGATATATAATCTTAATAATTAACTTCAGTGTGATATATGAATGAGTATTGAGTGAATTGCTTATATCTATTTAAAATGATATATTATTTACAATAAATTAGTAAAATTTATAGTATAATTAGTAAATTGGTATAATTTAGTTATCTATTATTTAAGATTCGACAACATTGAAGATATTTTTAATGTTAAATTTCTATCAATCAATATTAAAATATTAAAAATTGTAGATTTATTAAAGCATTGCATAACTTCTTAATATAAAAATAGTAACTGACTTTTATTTAAACACCAATTTATAGTTTTTTAATAATAATTAAAAATTATTAAACAAATCACACAACAATAATATATTGATATTTGAGTGGAGTTTATGTATTGATTACTATTTGCTATATATTCTATTCAATCTCTCGTTTGTAAAGAATATATTCTTTAATTAAAAGCAAAATAATACCATGATTTGTATTTGTATTAAACCATATATCTGTTAATTATGAATAAAATTGGTTTGAATTTTCAATAATTGTTAACAAAATGTATTTGTTGTTTACATACAGAACCCGACGGCTCCGAGTCCTTTGGGCCAAATGCCGCCCAACGAGATGTCAGGTGGACCTATGCCTCCGGCCGGCTTCTTCCCTGTAAGCCTGAATGTCATTTACTTTCATTAATTTAGTTAACTTTATATTAATTAATATGTATTCATATTAAACATGTAATTATATGTTTATTTGTTTAATATCACTAAAACGCAAAGTTTTTGATTGGTATTGAAAAATCTATGAATTAATAAATTAAATATTTGCACGAATTTTATAATTATTTTTTTCTGGTTTTGGATCTCTTGTGAAATTTATTTCTAAAAATTGTTTTGTTTGTCGGAAATGTCGCCAACACTTGTGAGCACTATCTTTGCATAGAATTGATTTCGAAGGATATGTTAATAACTTAGAGATTCATACATTGGTTGATATTATTATTTCATTTCACCTCAAAATCTACTAAAAATCGACAAAACCAGCTCTGAATGAATGGAGTGGTCTTTGTTTGTGAATTTAAGCACATTTTGTGCACACATTTATTTAAATATTGGTTTTGGTCAACAGTTTTGTTTACAAATCTCATCGTTTTTTATTGTATTGACTCATAAGAAGGAAAATATTTTTGAAACAAATCGTTGAAAAACTCAATAATTGTTACAGAATTTCACATTTAGGGTCTTATTGACAGAATATATGATTGTATACATAATGGAAATAAGTTTAGCCTCACTTGACATTCAAAATGCCTCCGATTTTCTAGAAAATCATTAGTTTTTAAAAAATATTGTATATATTTGTCAGAATTTCGAGCCAATCGTAAGAATAAGTCATTATTAGATATTTATATGAAGTTGTGATAAGAGATATGTATTTGTGTTGCAAAAGCGATTTTAAGGTCATATTAAATGAGTGTTTGAATAATATTGTAGATGTTTTTCACTATTTTTATGTTAAGTTTAAGGAAATATTTAATTTATTATGTCTTGTAATGATTGCACAATGAGTTTGTGTTTGCGATAAGGGATAGTATTGTAGAGACTGTCCTCCTATTGCTCTACGAGTGCGGGCGACTCGACCTTCTGTTTGTAATTTTCCGTTTAAAACACAATATTAACCGCTTTTTCGCGACCCTCTCTGTCAATGCATGTGTCGCTAATTCCGTACCCCATCTCCAGGCGCTCTCTATCTTCCTCTCTGTCTCTTATTTTGTGAACATTTTGTGATCCGATCTTTAATGGCTTTGAATGAGAATCGGCTTACAATCGCTAAAACAATTCACGCGATTCTTGACAACCAGACAATACATGTATTAGTATTTAATATTTAAGCATTTGATGGCTAATTGATTGCTGATTGCATGCATTCTTTGTAATTACATTTGGGACACGACTTACCACTTGATATAATAGCCTCTTGTGATATAAGATTTCCTCTCTCTCTCTCTCTCTCTCTCTCTCTCTCTCTCTCTTCATAAAATAATTAACTCATATAATGTCATAACACTATTCATACCTATCTTTTTACATAACAATAACGAATCGCTTTAATGAAAGAAAATATGTCAAGATTTTAAGTTTCCATTTGTTTGTCGCCAAACTTATAATCGTGTGTTTCTTTCTATTTCTCCATTTCCTGCATAACGACCCGCAATCGACGCCAGAATTCCCATATGCGGCCCTCACCGCCACAACAGCCAGTCTCACAGCCGTCCCCCCATCCACAACCTCCTCCCCCACCACACGGCCAAATGATGCAGAATCAGGTATGGATACAAACGGACACTACTCTACACCAATCACACTCACATCACATACCAAACCATAAGCTTTTCACTTTTTAACTTATTATCATTTCAAGTGTGCTTTCGCTCCACAATTCCTCCCATTCTTAACAAGCATTTCAATCGCTGTTCTCTTTTAAACCAAATCGAAGACACATTGAAATCAAATTAACTGTTTTTCTTATTTGTTTGATTATATGTTTGGGCATTAGTTTATAAGTCTGTGTCAAAACACACTACAATTCATTTAATCCGATATTTGCAAAGAATTCACTTCAATGTTATCCCGAATGACGCGCTTTTAATCGTTATGCTTTGTCTTAAACTGAATGTTACTTTAATTCGTCAGATTTTGAATGTATTTATGCAAACAATGTGGTAATATATCCATAGATCTGAAGGCTTCAATTGCCTCACATTTTACTAATGTTTATATTTTACAAATAGAAATACGAAAATAGTTATTAATAAATAAAGTTCTTGTTTTAAATGTCAAAATATATTTACCAGAAAAAATTATTCTAAAATAATAGAGCCATTCATCTATATTTTAAACAGATTACTAGTGTTATAGATATGCTATGAATAAATTATATAAAAAGTAAGTTTTACGGAATTCATTCATTGAAAATTCAGCGATACTTTAATTAAAATTGAAATTACAAATTAAACTTTCTTAAAAATTTATGCATTATTTAAGATAGGATTTTAAAATATACGATTCTCTATTGCATAATTTATTTGGTGTTATTTTAATGTCTGCCATACTATTTGAATGGTCTATAATTACATGCAATTTCTTATAGCAAATTCTTGATATTGAGTATTGAATTCTTTGTTGAATTTATTTTCATATATTTTATTGCAAATGAATTTCAATTTTTTGCAATTCTTGTCCGAATTGTGTCTTCACAGGCATGTGATAGAAAATCTTTCATAAGAATGAGATTATTTTCACACATTTTCTAATAATTCATATATTATATACAAATTTTACATCAATTGCCAGAATTTGGTCATCTATTCATCTGTATTACAGTATAATACAGTAATTTCTGACATTTGTAGACTTTTGGTCGTATTTAAACTTAATTGATGTCTTTGTACTTATAATTATAATGTCATAATTATTATTCAAAATAATCCTTTATTTCATTATAACAATTGTTATAATTGTTGATAAATAAGGAAAAGATTTTATTTAACAAAAGTGAGATAATTTTGTGAATTTATTACGGAATCAATTCATTGAATTTTAATTTTATAATAATTTATTTGCACATCAGATAATATGATATAAAAATTATCATGTTAAGTTTGAAGTGTATCAGAATATACTTACAGTATATTGGTTATAAGTTATGCAAAACCTTTTATTAGAATTCTAAACAGAAAATTCTTGCATTTAATTGTATTATTTAAGTGAAAAATGTTTTTAAAATTATATTATAAATTATGATTTACTAGAATTGATAAGAGATTATAAAGATTATAATTGCATATATATTTTCGCAGCCATTTATGTCACCCCGATATCCGGGAGGTCCGCGACCGGGCGTACGAATGCCACAACAGGTAGACTTCAATGTAAGCATTCTTTAAATACAGAAATAAATTTCAATTTTACCATAAATTCGGAATCTCTATGTCGTTCAGCCGCCGGGAGGAGTGCCGGGACAGCCATTGATGCCTAACAGTATGGACCCCACCAGACAAGGTATGACACAATCGCACTCATATCGTATAAACATTACACAAACCATCGCTGCCTCCAATCGCTTCCATTATTTCAAATGCTTCCGAAAAACTGCTGTCATTTCTTTTCATTCATTCATTTCAAACAATCACTCTTTAATAACTCAATCCATGCAAACATTCATAGCTTTTTTGCTGCAAATGTTGTTTTGTATTTAAAATTCACTCATTTCTCTTGAATCTCTTTTTCTGGTAATCTTCTACTAATAGGTGGTGTAGGCGGTGGTGATGGAGATTTTGTGGGTTGGCAGCCAGGTATGGCACCCGACTTTTCACACTTTCACTCCACTTTTTCTTAACTCATTATTTCGTATACTTTTATAATGAGTTTAAATTTAACCAATCGTTTGTGTATACGCTTTTGTAGGCCCGCCGGGCATGACGTCAATGAATCCACGGATGAACCCCCCGCGCGGCCAACCGTTAGGGCCTATGAATCCCAACTACGGCGGAATGAGGCCACCGCCTAATTCCATGGGTCCCGGAGGACCCGGAATGCCTCCCGGAATGGGAATGTAAGACATATACCCATTACTTGTTGTCATACATTTGTACTAATCGTCAGATTTATTAACGATAGGCCGCCCGGCCCTGGAGGGCGACCCTGGAATCCAAATGCATCCAATGTAAGGCTTGCCCTTTCATTCATTTTATACATTTATCTCAACCTTTCTTTCTGTTTAAGCAACAGATGAACTATTCTTCCGCATCTCCCGGAAGCCATTATGGGGTAAGTTTGCGATCAAGGGATTCATAACTTGAATATAAACTATAATGCATTTTTGTGTGATTAATAGGGACCGCCGGGATCTGGTTCGGGACCCGGACCGGGAACGCCTATAATGCCGAGTCCTCAGGGGTCTACGGGTCCGTATTCACCAGCGAGTCATAGAATGGGAACTCCTAACCCCGGAGGAAGAGGTTTGTTATAAATGAAATGCTAGTCAATTGTACGAAAAGTGTATTAACAATGGATTGTTGCCATAGATTCTTCGGGTTCGGGAGGGGATGGCATGTATCCAATGATGAAACCGGGTCCGGGGGGAACGATGTCGGGTGTAAGTGATTGTTATGTGAAATACATGTGCAGATCGTAATACTGTATATGAAGTGTAATCTAACATTAATATGTTGTATAATCGCCCAAATGATATAGTTTCCAATGGGAGGGCCGGGAGGACCTGACGGATCAATGGGACCGATGGGCCCCGACTTAGGCCCGCCTGTGATGAATGGCATGTCTTCGGGTGGCGACGGGTTGGATGGCATGAAGAACAGTCCGGCCAACGGTCCGGGAACGCCACGAGAAGACGGGCCGCCCATGGGTTACGACATACCGGGATATGGGGGCGAAAATGTAAGCGAATTTTTTTGGGTTTTAATTTTGATGGCACTTAAGAGTAATTTAATGGGAATTATGGTATCAATAGTCTGAAGATATGTTCGATTCAAGAAGTGAGAGCTTTGAGTCCAATGTCGAAGCTTTGAGTGGGATGTGTGGCCTGAGTGCCAGCCCAGCACTCGACAGGTTTCCCTCCACTCAAAAGTTTGTGACGAAGTAGAGGAGAACCAATTGCAGAGACCATTAGTTCACTTTTGCCGTCTTATTGCGAGAACAAAGTCCTCAAAAAACGATACAAACTTTCTCTGATCACATGTTTGACACTTATCTTGTCTTTGGATCCCCTCTTTAGGACCAAAACGAATCGGCGGCCATTTTGAAGATCAAAGAGAGTATGCAGGAGGAGGCCAAGAGGTTTGAGAAGGACACACCCACCGATCATCCCGAGTACTTCATGCAATAACTCATTCTATACACTCTGGGCCACAGTTTTGGACACTTTAGTGACAATTGTTGTGAACCAATGTTTTTTGTTTCACTTTGAGTGCAGTTTGTGTTGCAATCAAATCCATCGATATATATGTATAAATCAACTCAACTCTCGACGTCTTTTGAATCCATTTTTCAATATTTATATCAAAATTTAGCCCTAATTTTGATATTATATTGAATACAAAGACAAAAATTCATATGAAAGACAAGAAAAGTATTTGTAAATAGAAATTCATAATTAGATGTGAACTCGACTTCAAGAATGTCGATAAAGAACTCATTCATCAATTCATGAAATTCTTTAGTTTGATTATTATTACCGAAAAGTAATTATATATGGATTTTAATTAAATGAAACAAAATAATAAGTTATGAATTTTTGTTGAGTCCTTCAAAAAGCAAGTGTGGATTAAATCAAAGTTACTTTTAAACGGAATTAAACCATAAAAACAGTGACAACTGTTTTTTGGACTCGGATTCAGTCAGGGTTTACAAGAAGTGCAGCGATTGTGCAGCCAATACACGACTACTAAAACAATTACAAACAACACATCCAAATGCATCTCATCCTCGCATCTCTTCATCATTAATAACAAAATGACATCAAAACCAATGATTTCATGACTTCTTATTTTCTTGTTTTTTGTATCATTCGTTTAAATAGACATCACTTTTGAAAAACTCCAGTCAAATAAGTGGAGAACTTTCGATATGATTACCACTTAATGAAAGGCATTATATATATTGTGTGACATATATATTGAAATTACATTCATTTTTCGACAAATTATTGTAAATATCGGATAATTATTATAATTAATTACCGCATCATTTCGATATACAGTGCAGTATATAATATATAAATTTGAATATACATTATATATAAATGACTGATTGGAGGGAATAATCTGAATGTTTTGGATTATATATAAAAAGTGTTTTATTTTACTCTTATTTAACTTATTATACGACTTGTGGATAACTAATCGGTGACTAAAACTCTTTACTACTTCTTTACTTCAATCATCAACGAGAAGGAGAACTGCATTTTATATGACACTCAACACAAGAAACCACAAGATATTCATCATAACGACTATTATTACCGTATTATGCGAACTGTTCTTCTCTTTGTTTCACACCATTTGTTTCATAACAACTTGTCCTCAAAGAAGAGCCGACTTATATCTACAACATCTCGAAGACAACGGAGCGAACACTGAAGAAGCAATACATACATGGATTGGAAGTCCACACGAGTCTTAGGCCGGCATTTATGCCATTATTATCAAAACACTCATTATATCAACGACACTGATATTCAGTATAAAATACATGACACGGAGTGTCGGCCCAACACATCGGACACCATCACCACTCCAGAGACACATCTGTCCAGTTCTTAACGACATCACCGGTACAACTGCTCTCTCGTGTCCACACAAAACAGCTCTTCGAGAAAAATCAAACTCATTGTCGAAATTCAAGTCATTCCGTAATTTAATAAACAAAAAGTTACAAAAAAGAAATTATTTAAATATATGAATATATTTATAAATTAATTGATAAATAAGACTAAAGACTATTGTAAAGGGAAAACGACGCGAATGTACTTTAAAGTCATTACACAATATCTCTTAAACAAAACTCTTATCGACTCTTATTGTCATCTCTTTCTTCTCCACTCTCTTTATTATAATTATATAATTCTTACAAATTCTGTACAATTTTTTCCTCTTATTTTCATTTTTTGTCACTATTTATAAAATCTCTTTTACTGTATCTCCAGTTTAAAAACGACAGCAAATCACAAGAAATAACTATTTTATGGTTCAATTGTAAGCATTTAATTGAATTAATTGATCGCCGATTGGTTTGCGATCACAAAACACAACACAAACTAAACAAAAGACAAAACACTTTAATTCTCTCTATTTTATAGTCCAAAGAGTTCTCACATTAATTGTCGACAAAATTGATATTTCAATTCAAATTGTCGTTTGCTTTATAGACAACTAAATGCATAACTATTATTATAATTACAACTAAATTAATTATTATTACTATTTCTGTCATTCATTATAAGTCTATTTGTAAATCATATGATAAGAAACCAAACCATCATTTCTTTTCGTGTAATTCATTTGTTGTTAAATTGATTTTTTCGATGAATTTAATGATTCATTTAATTTTATTATATATTTTAATTTCAAAAGTTTATTTCAAATCCAATCTTGAAGTGAATGTCAAAACTGAAGACCAAACAAACAAACGGTGAGTTATATTCATATAAATATATTTCTCAGTATTAAGTATTATATACTCAATAAAAAGTTGTTTTCAAATCAATTACTACTCATTCATTCAATACATCACTTCATACATCACATCCACTCGAAGGTCAGGTACGGATCAGATCAGTGGTGATGATTGATCCTCACGAGGGCACAGGTATGAGCCCACGACTCGATCATTACCTTTCATTTCAAATATTCAACACTCGTCTCAATGGGTGTCATATATTTGGATCAAATGCTTGTCTTTATCGCACTTCTTGTGTCAACGCATTCATTATCTTAAATACTCTTTGACTGGAGTTGTGGTCAAAATTCAAACTTTCAATTTAACCGCTCATCAGGGCTTGAGCTGAGTCTTGTGCCACACTTTCATCGGATCCTCTCTTTCTCTTATACTATGACACGAGTAATGATTGAATCCATTGATTGAATCCACTCCTTACAGTCCATCCAATTGTCTTGAGTTTGTGTCCACTCGTGAGCCGACGGGAAGTGCTGTCACTATATTTCCAATTTGTCCACAAATTACGTAATTTTGTCTACATTTTCATCGACGGATCAATTGGTAGAAGACGTGTTTGAAATGCATTTGATATCAATTGAGATAATAATTGATTACTAATAAATGATTAGACAATTAATAGTTGTCTTCAAATGGTTTGTCAATTGATTCGCAGCTGAAGAGAGTCTGAGAGGTGTGGAGGACGTACTCAATGGATGTCTTCATTGAATAACAACTGATTTATTGTTTATGTTTTGAATTGATTTGCGATTGAATTGAAAGTTGCGTTCATTTGAAGGATTGGATTATCGGCTGAAATGGCGGTCAATATGTTTGGTCTCATCGTTTCGGGAAGACTTGTAATGCAATCAATGCAAGCGTTCATTCATATGATGTCTACCACTGATTGTCTTGTTTTTGTTGTTGTTGTCAAAGGATAGGTTGTGACGGACTTCGTGTCAGTCGATGTGAACAAGTGTTTGATTACAATCCAAAACGCCGATGACATCAATCACGTGGTCGTCTTCATGACCGGCACTCAACCCTTTCCCGAAGGGATGGCCGGATCTGGTAATCCATTTGTCGCCACATTTGTCACATTCAGACATCTCTAATGCATTGCTTTTCGGCAACGATAGTGTACTTCAGTTTCCCGGACCCGTCATCGCCGCCGACGTGGATCTACTTGGGCTTCATCTCCAACGACAAGCCGTCGGCCATATTTAAGATCACAAAATTAAAACAATTGAATGATTTAAACGGTTTGTTTGTCTTTGCATTGGAAGCGATGCGCGAAATAATAAGTGCTCTTTTAATTGATCCTACAATAGGGTCGACAGCGGGCCCACCGGTCGCCACCGGCTTTGGTTTCGCGCAACCGATTGTGTCACACGTGGCACAGATCGGCATTTCGACGGAACCGTTGGCCGTTATCTCGCAGATGACGGCCGACCCGAACGCTAACGTTTCCCAACAAAACAATTTCGAAGAGTTCGCGATTAAAGCGGCAGAAAATCTGTTCAATTATTGCACTTCTTTTTCAAATAATTTGCAACAGT